GAGTTGTCGAGGCCTTGGCCTGTCCCCCCCACAACCTTAAGTGCCCTCTAATGCTCACATGAGAGTCTTTAGATTGCCTAGCTAACCACACCAAGCTGCTCATGTTGGCAGATTAAGATGGCTGTTTTTGTGAAATCACAATTTTCTGATGCAGGATAATAAAAAGTGTCCAAGCATTCTGAGCTGGGGGGCTCTCTCACCCCCTGTGGAGCAGCTTAATTGAACTTGACACATTTATTTCAGGAACAACACACTCAGCATTTGGGGAGATTAAAAAATGATTTGATAAATTAGACACTGATTAGAGCAGAACAGTGAAAATAAACATAACCCTGTATCAGACATGTGCTGGAATATATGTTAAGATAACCACAGACATTTTAGTACCTATCTTGCCCACCAGAGGGAGCTCTTCACTCACAGATGGAAGCCCCTCTGCCCACTTAAGGCGTCTGAGTCCAGACGTGACGCTTTGACTCTCCCTCTCACTTGGAGAAAGGCTCCACCATTGGAGAGTGGAGACAAAGAGATTCACATCACGTCACCACTGCAGCTGTTCTGACAGATCGAGCTCTATTGTCACAGAAACGGGAGGGGAAAAAAAGTGTGGCTGAGATGGGTAAAGTGGTGAACCACGTGCTGCAAATTACAGTGCTGGGTTGTACACAACATGTGCTGTACACATGAAGGGATCCATAGGTGAGGGGTCAGTTTCTTTAAGCACAGGCATTGTTGGCAGTATGAGATTCATTAGACGCAGTTTGTGATCCAGTATGTCTTTTTTTTTTTTAAATTAGTGCATCCTTGGATTACTTGATTATCTCACTGTCTCGTGTATTAAATGGTAAGTGGCCTGTATTTATTTACAGCTATACACACAGTCGGTGATGTTTGCTTTTTTTTGGAGCTAAGACTCTTTCACATGCACTTGTGATTAGTGAGATGACCCCTGTGCCACCTGAGCCACCTCTTACTCAAATCAGCCATTAAAAAAACTCATCAACCGTTTTAATGAGCAGAAATATTTCAATGTTTCCTTGGGTGATGCTTTTATTTACAACCATTTAATAAGAACTCAATGTGAATGAGCCGGGTCAGGAAATAAGGGCGCAGCCTGTCTGACTGGGAAAAGGAGACGAGATTATTAATGGAAACATTTGCAGGTTGTTGTTTGAGCGAATGCTCTTATCGTTCAACAGTGAGTGCAGCTAGGGAATCGGCTTCTATAATGACTTTAAAGTTGTAAGTTGCTGTTATTATTTTTTAAATTGAGAAGATCCATAAAAACCCGTAAGATTTGAGGATATTTTACAGTGGGGAAAAATAAATGTATGCTATATTTGAGATTAAAGAGAGAGGCTGTCTTTAATGCCTATGTAGTCTAGCAGAGAGCACTGATGCTGATCATTTCTGAACTACATCATCTTGTCACCAAACACCTGCTTACATAAGCTGATGTCACTTTGACCATTAAATATCAGCTGGAGATGGTAAAATTCACCTTAGTTAAGTTTGCCAGCTTGCCCCTGAACTTTGCAGACAGACTGACTTTAATCACCTTCAAAAAATAAACTAAAGCTGTTAGCAATCAGTACTACCTTTGAAATCTTGCTATACTGTGTTTAAGAGTTTTCCACTGGAGTTGAACTGGGGTCAGGCTGGTGAACCAGTACAGTGTAACCATTAAGGACACATTCTCCTTGGCCTGGAAAAGCAAAGCCTGTTGAAGAAATGGGGATCGGATTAAAAAGTTTAAGAATACTAACACACATCCAAAAACACCCGTTGGTAAAAACTCTGCCTCCTGGTGGTGAGAGTTTTAGTTGCATTTTAAAGAATTGATGAACTGATGCAGGGTGTAATGGTTGACCAAAAGATCAAATTGGCCAAGTGTGTTTGAACTTTAAGGTCATTCGTAGATGTACATGAAGAAAGAAAGAAAATAAAGCTACACAGCAAGTACAACAGCGCTGCACAGAGATCAACGAATGCAAACTCGAGTGTTAAAAAGCCGAGGAAAACCGTTTGCTTTTCATGTATTAAGCAGGGAAATCTAAAAATGTGTGGCAGATTCTTTTCTCTACAAATAAAGACCTTGAATGAAAGATGCTCTGTGTGTGTGCGCACGATGAAGAGTAACCGTACATTTCTGCTGTGCGTCTCCAGTCTGCAGAAGCTGCCTTGTGAAGTATCTGGAGGAAAACAACACGTGCCCCACGTGTAGGATTGTTATTCATCAGAGCCATCCACTGCAGTATATCGGGTGAGTGAGGAGCCACCGCAAAGTGCACACACACAAACGCACACACACACACACTCACTCATTCACACTTTGAGTGCCATCAGCTGTGCTCTGCCAGTAAACAAACTGCCGAGGACCAAACAGCCGGCGGTCCTTTTCCATTTGATTTCTGCTCTTCTGCAGGAAACAAAAAGCCTTTTGGGGTGGTCCGGCTGCTTTCTTTTGTAGATTTGCACCTCGCACAAAAACACTTAAAGCCCACACCACAGCTCTGTTTTCTGCACAAGAGTCTAGAAAATACATGCTCATTGTACAGTTAGTACAATCAATGTATTATTAAACTTTGACCATTTAAACATGGAGGGCTGAGCGTGAGCAGCTTCTCACATTAATCACACAAGTCGGTGTGATTTCATTGATTAGGTTTGCCTGTAATCTGTGGCTGGAACGATAACAGCTCTCCCCGTCTGTCTTACACGATAACATCGGTGCAGAAGGTTGTTACTGTTAGTGATGCAATTATTACTATGATTTTTGCAATGATTGATTGATTTATTTTTGCCTGCATTGCTCACCTGAAATGTTATCAGACCAGGAAGGACGGCGGTTACATTTTTATTTCCCATGTTTTTCTCCTTTTTTGGATGTGCAGTAATACTTTCGAACACCCGTTAAAAAAAAACCCAACTTTGGGATCTGTGGAGTTTCCCTCTACTCTTATTAAAGACTAGTAAAATACACGAGCTAAATTATATTTTTCTCTTTAACCAAAGCAAAGAGATCCCTTTATCCACATTGCACATTTAAAATGTAAAAAAACAGCTGTAGCCCACTGAGATCCAAAGATGCTCATTGTCTTATTTTTATGTTTTATTTGCTTGCGCTCAAAAATCTTCAAAAGAACAAACATGTCTGTGTGCATTATAAAGCACGGCTCAGTTGCTATAAAGTAGATATACAGTAGATGATCCTGCAGCTATGATCATAAACCGCTGCTGGGATTTTGCATCAAAGTGGCATCGCAGCTCGGCGTTCCCCACTGTTTCTTGATAACTAAATATGAAAAAGGAAAGTTGTACTTCAAGTCTGTTAATTGAGTAGCGATAAGTGCGTTGACTTTTGTAAATATCTTATTGCTTTTGGAAGCCGTCTCCGGCTGGTTAAATCCTGCTCTGCGAAGCATCGTGTGGTGTCTGCCCCTCTGAGCGCTCACGCATTAATGTCTGATAAATGTGGCACACAAACCTAATGTGCACCAGCAATTTAGTCATTACTGTGTAAACTGCGCTTTCTGCAGACTCATTGTTTTGCAGGAAATGCTCCATTTCAAACGCATTAGCTCTCTGCGCAGCTGTTTGGGAGTTTTTTTCTTCCTCCCTTCATTGTTTGCAGGAAATTGGAGCTGATGGAAAACATCACAAGTGATTTGAAGGCAAAACGCCCAGCAGATGACAAGCAAAACCCCATCTGCTCATTGGGAAGATTGATCAAAGTTGATGTTTGAGATTTAGGCTTAAAAATCACAGTCAGATGTCTCTTCAGAGAATCAGCTGGGCAGAACAAATCCTGCCGCTCCGCCCGCCAAATGTGGCTTTCTTTGATTGTTTTAATCCATTTTGTTTTCACATACTTTAAATTGTTGCGGTTACATGCGTGCAAACAGCTTGGGAATCAGTAGCTCTGGGAAGGAAATGTGCACATATTGTTGCCACTTGGTCTCATTTAGTTACTTCAAAACATGGTGTTGATTCATGCCACTACTTTTTTTTTTTAAATAATATATTTGTTACATTTATATTTTGGTTATGTTAACATTTAGAGACCGTTCAGGGCTGCTGGATCATTTTATTTAGAGTTAATGTGCACGTCACTCTAATGTTTTCATAGGCTTTTAAAACAGAGTCCATAGAAGGAGGAGAACAATGCCTGTAACTCAGTGTCCATGTGGAGTTGGCCACTGGTAGCCAAGGCTTATCTCTTCTTCAGGAAGGAGCTCATGTGATAAGGACATGGTGGCATGGGGGAGGGAAAGACATGCAGTGGCTCATAAGACCCAATCAGAGCAGCAGATGTGGGCGTGTGAGACTGCAGTCGTTTTAGTTGGCACAATCACATTTTAATTGTTGGGTTCTTTATGCTCTTATTTGCTTCTTTATCAGTGATAACTCAGGTGATTTGCACAGGGCTGGATGATGAACACACTCATTGTCCTTTTGATATTTATTTGACCTTTTAAAGTCTCATGATTCAGAAACTTCCAGGCGGGATCAGGAAATAAAAACACAGAAACATGTCTACATTTCTCACAACGTGGACATTTTTAACGCCAGTAACAGATCTCAGGGCTATAATCAGTTTTGTCCAGCAGGGGTCAGTGTTTCCCTGCTTTTTTGCAGGGGATCAATCCTCAGCATTAGGTGGCTAATTTCGGTCCCTGATATGACTCCTCCTCAGTGGACAGCAGGGGAGACAAACATGTCACATTTTTATTTATTCATTTTTCTCCTCCATAACCTTGCAACAAACAGCACACTTTGTCTGTTAGCTGGCTGTCAGCACTGGGTGTCAAAACACACCATCACACATAACGCGTACCCACTGTGCACCATGTCACCAGCACGGAGGAAGCGGCCATTTAACCATTTAACACTCTGACAGAGCGCATGCTGAAGATCAGCCTTTGAGGGTGTCAGTTGGGGCTTTGTGAGATTATTTTCTTGCACGTCACCTTGAGATTTTCAGTCATTTAACAGGATAGTGTTTTACAGTGCAGGGTGGCAAGAACTTATAGTTTTACCTCGGGGCATTTGCAGCATGTCATAACAGGATGCGCAAAATCTACAGGTTCTAAATAGTTCAACCAAATGTTATTCCACCCTCTCAGACTGCTGCGTGCAGAGGCTGGACTAATTATGCAGCATTACATACAAGAAAAGGAAAAAAATTAAGGGGAATTTTGATAAGAAAAGAAACAGCAGAATATTGTTTCCCACGTTCTCTCCTATCATGTTGATGATCTCATGACTTCAGACTGAATTATTTTTTTTTTTTTGTGGATTCCAGTCCAGACTTGAAGGTAGGGATCCACTGCTGTGAGTTACAAAAACATGCAAATGTGTTATGAAATTGTACAAGTGCATCTTTACCTTGTTCGCTGTGAGTTTTTGAATCTCTGGGTTTGAAACTGAGTTGCTTTTCCCTTTTTATAATGTAAATTTTCACTGCGTGTTAAAGTAACTAATTATTTTCTTGTCCCTTATAGCCATGACAGAACAATGCAAGACATTGTCTATAAGTTGGTACCGGGACTACAAGAGGGTAAGTATTGTGTATTTATTTCCTGGGATGCAACCTACAAGAGATCCTTCCTTAAAACGTAACTTTTTAGCCTTCCCTTGCATGCATGCATTGATAAACTGACTGAAAAATGCATCATTTTAATATTGTTTTTCCTCGCTGTTGTACGTGAACCTCAGAACTACTAAGGAACAAGCTCCCTGTAGTGCACACATGCTTCTCTAAATGTTAAAAAGATGACAGCATCAGCCTTGGCAAAAAGGACTTCTGTTTTTAACTCTTTTTTGTTTTCCTTTGGCTCTTGTGCAGCGGAGATAAAGAAACAAAGGGAATTCTATCAGAAGTTGGGGATGGAGGTGCCCGGAGACATTAAAGGAGAACTTTGCAACATGAAGACTCACCTAGATCAACGCAACGGTACGTTAGCCTCGCAGACTCGCGCTGTTTTCAGAACCACAGAAAATCTTTCTTATTGCTTCATCTAGTTTGGAGCTGGCTCTGCATTTAAACCAACACCTAACATGCACCTGTGACGGGTCTCTTATTTGTTTGACGTGAAGGATTTGACCTTTACTCAACACAGCCTTAACGGTGGCACATAACAGTCTCAGTGAATGCAGCATACGAGAGGATGTTGTTTGGTTTTGTCACATGATGCTGCTGTGAGTTGAAGGTCCTCCAAATAGCACCAGGGCTCAACCTGGCTGAAAAAAAGTACTGCAGGCATGAAAACAAATATTTCCTGCAGCCTCTTTGAAAAATGGTGTAAATAATGTTGTATTGATTGTCCGGGTGGATTTTACCTGTTGGCAACCTAAACAATCTAAGACACATGCACAATATGCATTCACATATTATACTTAAATTATGCATGGTAACGTGCAGATATTGTATTTACATACTTGCACTCAGTATGTTAGTAGAATTCAATTTTCAATTCAAGTCAGTTATGTTTTTTTCATATCTTCTCATACCATCTCAAAACTATTTATATTGTTAGACAAATATCCTACAGTAATGCAGAGAAAACCCCAACAATTAGACGAACCCCTATTAGCACGAACTCTGCAACAGTAGGAAGGAAAAACTGAATTTTAACAGGAAGAAACCTCTGCAAGAATCAGGCTCAGGGAGGGGCAAACATCTGCTGTGGACCGGTTAGAAGTGACTGGATGGAGACGGGACAAAGGACGAGCTGTGATGGATGTAGATGGGTTTGTTTGTTTGTTCCCAAGTCTTTAAGAGTGTGGCATTTTGATTGTTTTGCTTTTTTTAAATGAATGTGACAAGTGAAGGGTAGAAACCTTACTGAGAAACCTGCCGGTCACAGATCCCTAAAGAACAGCCTGCTTATCATGTTTCATTCTAAACTATTCTATGCTAACGTCATGTTGTTATAAATGAGACTTCACCTCTGCAGTGTGGATGTCGTGCTGATAATGTGTAAAGAATGAAGTCTCTGGCCAGTAATGAGAAACATTAGAAGCACAACCAGTAAGAGCAGAAGCCATTAAACAGTACAGATAAAGACAATTTAGCCAATCATAACGAGCCTCTGGCCTGCTCTTTGTGCACAATGGCTTTTCCAAACCTGCTCGCTTCCAAGGGTTGGTGTAGATGTGTACCCAGAGGGCTGTCATGCTGGCAGGCCTAATCGCTAGCTTAATCCCCCTCTCTGATTTTGGTAATTAAGGTTCAAATGGAAGTGGAACTGCTCTCTGGATTCTCGAGCTTTGTCGCTGGAAGTCAGGTTTAGCTATAGAATATACACACACACACCTCTAAATGTTCATACCCAAACACATTTTAAGGACCATTTGCACAGACGCCAACAGAAAAAGAAACAAAGCAACTCCTGGGCTCCATTTCACCATTGAACAAACAAATGTGTCTCTAGCTTTGAGCAGTGATAAAAATAATCTTGACTTGAGGAAACTATAGAAAACCAAATGCATGTTATGGAAATAGAAATTCACTCTCTTTCGTGCGCTTCTGAAGATTTTAAAGCTACCAGCCTTTTAAGGAATTGAAAGCTTCCTTTTAACTCCAGTGAATTTCAGATAATTGGTTTACCGTCTGGTCTCCCTCAAAGCTCGTCTCTATATACAATCACTGAAAACACAACAAAGAAAATGTCACACTGCACAACAAAATTTCTCTTTTCATTTCATCCATCTGGTTCAACAATGTAAGAAAAAGATCTTAGACTATTGAGCTGTTATAACTTTATATTATTTAATCCATTCGTGCATGTGTGTTGAGCCAAATGGAAGTCTGAATAGAAAAAGGCATCGTGCATAACATCCATGTGTCAGGTAGCCGGCTAATGGCACACCATCTTGTGTGCAGTTCTCCGTAATGCATCCACGGTGAGTGGTCTTTTCAAATAGCCACTCTTGAAAAGACTCACCATGGTTGTACAACACCATTAGTGTTAGATAGTTTTGCAAGTGCCACAAATTGAGCTAAAAATACAGCCACAGCTCCCCAGTCATGGTTTAGATTGCATAAAAAAGTTTCGACAACGCCAGCAAATGCTTGAGAGAGACAAGAAAGCCGAGGAGTGTCACAATATTACACATAGGTTAGATTGATCACAAAGTGGTGCTTAAGGGGTGGTTTAGCAGCAAAAATCCTACTAGGCTGAGTATGTAATATTACCATCATCTGTCTATACATACAGGCTAATGCAGTATGAGGCACTGTAAATAAAAACGCACATTGCTCAGAAGCGATAAAGTGCATCCTGGGTATGTGTTAGTCATCTGGTTGTGGTTGACTTGTTTTACAGGTTGTAAATTATCTGCATCCATCTTTAATCTGGACTCAGCGATTTGACATTGCATCCAGATTCTTTGAAGACCTGTCAGGACTTTAATGAAAGTTACAGAGATTCTGTTTGCATTGACTTGAATACATGTGGTATAAAAGCTTTAAAGTAGTAGGCAGTGATTTTATGTAGGCAGGCGGTGTTCGGTTGCAGCGATGGCTCATCTGAGTCATGCCCCACGTCCCACTCCAGGACACGGGGGTCAATGCCAACAATTCTTCGCCCCAACTGGAAAAATAATAATAATGAGGTTTTCTGGTTTTAAACTACTCAACAAAAAACTACTTTGTACTCTATTTTAAAATAGACAATACAAATCTAGTTTTAAATTGTGCAGCTGCTGGCCTCTAGAAGCTCTACTGTATTTCTATTTTCTTCTGTTTTGTAGCTCTTAAAGCTGGGTAGATTTCCCAAAACGGTGAAAAATATTAAGTCATAGTCAGAATTTGTTTATCCAGCATCACCGCGAGCAGGCTGGTTTGTTTACTTGAAATCTTTCTCTCCCACCTGAGAAAATGGACGCTCCTCATTAGGTTCCTATCTAAGAATAGCAAACCAAAGTTAACAGATGGTATCGCAGAGATCACACTGCACTAACAACAGGTGACAGTGGGCGCTCTGTAAATGTTTCTCCTGCCAGAGCTGAGCAGTTTTACACTTAATTAAAGGCTCATTTACCCAGAATCTCAAAATTAGGAACTTTTTTTTAGGTCCTTCTAATCAGCTGAATAAAGTTAACCTCTTCCGCTTTATAGAAGACGGATCGACACTTTCTAATCCATGAGCACAGAAGTCACAACCAGAGGTTGTAATATTTGGAAGAAAGAGTGTGTTTTCAGGAAATAAATGACGCAATGTCTGTTAATTAAACAGAGCACATGTAGTACAGGGACATTGTGAGTCATGTTGGGACCTTAATCCAAATGCTCCCTCAGTGCATTAATACCCTAAAGAGATGAACAATTACAGAACAAAAATCACATTTTATTGATTACAGGGGACCAGTGGCAGTTCATAATTTGCCTATTTTCTTCCTTAAGTGTTGGCTCTAAGTATGACATATTTGCAGCTTGTTCCTTGGCAGTGCATAATCCAGCTCTCTTATCAATATGTTCCAAACACTTTCTAAGGCGGCTTAACAGAGTACCTCCAAGCTCTGCATTCAGTCTCACAGAAACTGCAATATTGAGTTATCTGTCAGTAATATGCTGATTGATTGGAATATACTAAACATGCAAAGCAATATTAGAGATGTTTCTGTGGACTTTCTTGCAAAAAGTGTGTGTTTTATTCCCAACTGAAGGTTTACTTACATTAAGACAAACGTGGCATGTGCAACAGGCCCAATATTTTAACACTGCCATTAAGCTATAATACTGCACGATTTAAGCCTTCGCACAGTAGATCTAAGCCGTGTTAGCTGTGCTTTTAAGTGCATAAGCTGAGTTTTTTTCCAAACACTGTTAAAAATCTGGCCTCCTCTAGTATACAGCAGACTCATTTCTCTAAATGACCTTCTTTTCTGAGCACTTTACACAAGAAAATAGGGAGACATGGGGCGATGATGAGTCTGTCGAGTGCCCTTTTCTACTTCATGACAATATAAACGCCCACTCACTAACACACAGTTTACTCCATCTCACTGCCATTACACAGCAGAATCACTCGAAAACGTTGTAGTACATGCCTTTGGGATTCGACTGTTTATAAGAGTTCCCACAAATCATAAACCTGTCAGAGAGTAGATGATTTTTCTGAAACAAAAAGAAATTTTGGAAGAGACAGACTGCTCAGTCTTTCTAATCCCCAGACCCAAGCAATCAACCCATTACACGATGCCATCACCTCGAACAAAAGCCAGGACTTCATGTTTGAGTCACTCAGATGCTCAGGAGTTGTTTGAAGGTGAGGCACAACAATAAGAGCAAGACCCTGGTGATAAGCAATCAGTGAGGCACACTCTGGAGACAATCACCACAGAGACACCAGAGCAGCTCAATAATACTTGGTGGAATTGGTGACAGTTAGCCCAGACAGAAAATGGTCACAGAGGGGTGCTCCCAATAGCATCTACTGTCTGAGTAGGACTAAACTGTCC